TGTCTGTGGCTTGTCAGCGTTCTGTGCACAGAGCACTGTTGCGATGACTACTGCTGAGGGCCTTACCCTCCAGAAACATAGACTCGGAAGGGAAAGGTTAACTCATGGGAAAGACACGCCATGAGATTAAAAAACAAAAAAGTACAAATCTCAACAATTCCAACCAGAAGAAGAAAATAATTCCAGATGAGCAATCCATGTGCTTCTATAATACGTGGTATGTTAGGGAGCTCTTTATTAAAAAGATAGCTCACTGATAGTCTTCCAGCCTCAGAAATAAGAAAGCAAGAGGCCACAGTTCCTCTTTCTTCAGTGTAGAAATGAAGGTTTTCCAGGACCAAACCAGGCAGTGGGGACTTCAGCTCTTGAGCAAACATGCTTTCATTTGCCACTTGGGAAATTGTTTTCGCACATTATGCAACCTCCCCAGTGTGCTGCTGTGTTTTCTAGTCTGACAGTTCTTATCATCAACACTGATTGGCTTATGTGGGGAAGAACACCTCTTGAAATTATCTTGTGGGATTAAAAGTGCTCAACCAACTGATCAGCAAGGATGTAGTAAATGCTACAAGTTGCCCACTTTGTACTGGGTGCTGCGAGGTATAAGAAGAAAGCCACTGTATGGTAATGACCCTTGAGGAGATTCCAATCTGGCCTGAAGACAGAATTACTGTCTGTGAAATAATAAGGCAGTAAATAAGAATCTGCCCTGGATATTTGAGGTGCTACACTGTTTTGTTTCCGTAGTTGTGTTAAGGTATACAGTTCCATGAGTTTGGGCTGGTGCGTACACCCATGTCAATCACAGCCCTGTCCAGACATAGAACGTTTCCATCACCCTGAAAAGCTCTCTCATACCCCTTCTGAGCCAAGCTCTACCACCACCAAAGGCAACCACACTTCTTACTATTTTTACCATAAAATAGTTCTACTGATTCTTGGTCTTCATTTAAAATATTTTTTTTTAGTTTGTTATGAATTAAATTTGTAAATTTTATTTATAACTATTTTGGTAACTTATTTTTGGCTGTTTTATAAGGGAAGCAGCTTTTTAAATACTTCCAATTTTAAGATAATCTGTATAATCTCTTATACTGGCTGAGTTGCTTAAATCTAGATTAGTGAGGTTATAATCAGATTATCACAATATTCATGAGTAAAATCAATCTCCTATGCCAAACATAGCTTCAGCTATAAGTTTAAAAACACTAGGAGTGCCTGGGTGACTCATTCGGTTGTTAAGTGTCTGATTTCGGCTCAGGTCATGATCCCATGGTTCATAAGTTGGAGCCCTGCATCAGGCTCTGTGCTGACAGCTCAGAGCTTGGAACCTGCTTTGGATTCTGTGTCTCCCTCTCTCTCTTCCCCTTCCCCTGCTTGTGCTCTGTCTCTCTCTGTCTCCCAAGAAACAAAATGAATAAAGGTTAAAAAGTTGTTTTGAAAAAGCACAGTGTTGTAGGGGTGCCTGGGTGGCTCAGTCAGTTATGCATCTGACTCTTGATTCAGCTCGCATCATGATCTCAAGGTCGTGAGTTCAAGCCCCAACTCAGTCTCTGCGCTGACAGCATGGAGCCTGCTTGGGGTTCTCTCTCTCTGCCCCTTCCCTGCCCACACTTGCTTTCTTTATCAAAATAAATAGGCTTTAAAAAAATAAAAATAAAAACACAGTGTTCTGCACTGTGTTTTTTTTTTCATAACAAGCATCCATGGTCTAAATTACAGGTGTCCTTGAAATTACTAAAACTTTGCAATTATTAAATGAAAACTTTTGCCCTTTTAGTAGCGAGGTATAGATAGTAACTAAATTTTACAGTAAGAAGATACAGACTAAGGACAGATTTAACTTTATTGTCTTGGAATTTATAAGCACCAGCAACCTTCCCTGTCTTTCTTTCAGAAAAGAAGGGCTGGGAGAGGATCCGTTATTTACATTAGCAAAAGCACTTAGGCCAACAGCTCACCATATTCTCAAGTATCCTGCTTTAATAGAAAAACCCTGTGCCCTTGAGTTGCAATGTTAATGTTTTGTTTCACTCTTAACTCTAATGCATCCTATATATTCATTCTACAACTGTGTAATAGAAGTGCAAAGGAAAGAGTGATCATTTTTACATTAGGAATTTTAGAGGCTTTGTAATGGAATGAGAACTTGAGCAATATCTTAAAATATACGTAGATAAAAGGAGAGAGTGGAAAATCACAAACATATAAGAGAGAGCATAACATGAGGAAACCTGTCAGGAGCAGAGCCCTGACAGAAATTAAGTTTAAAAAAGGAGAACAGAGGGGTGCCTTAGTCGATAGAGCATGTGACTCTTGATTTCAGGGTTGTGAATTTGAACCCCATGTTGGGTGTAGAGATTCCCAAAAAAATAATAGTAAAATCTTTAAAATAAAAAAAATAAATAAAAAGAGAAGAGTGGCAGATAGAAAAACTCTTAAGGCAGAGAAGGACAGATACCATATGTTTGCACGTATAGGAGGATTAGGAGACAGCTAACGAAGGACCATAAGGGAGAAGAAGGGGAAAAATAGTGGGGGAGAGGGAGGGAGGCAAACCATGAGAGACTCTTGAATGCTAAGAACAAACTGAGGACTGATGGGTGTCGGGGGGAGGGGAAGCGGGTTGATGGGCATGGAGGAGGGCACTTGTGGGGATGAGCACTGGGTGTTATATGGAAACCAACTTGACAATAAAGTATTTAAGAAAAAAAAAAGAAAAACTCTTAAGGTGCCTGAGTGGCTCAGTCAGTTGAGCGTCTGACTTCAGGTCATATCATGATCTCAGGGTTCATGGGTTCAAGCCCAGCATTGGGCTCTGTGCTAACAGCTCAGAGCCTGGAGCCTGCTTTAAATTCTGTGTCTCCCTCTCTCTCTGCCCCTCCCCTGCTCGCACTCTGTTTCTCTCTCTCAAAAATAAACATTAAAAAAATTTTTTTTGAAGAAAAACTCTTGGGGTGCCTGGGTGGCTCAGTTGGTTAAGCGTCCGACTTCGGCTCAGGTCATGATCTCACAGTTTGTGGGTTCGAGCCCCGTGTCGGGCTCTGGGCTGACAGCTGAGAGCCTGGAACCTGCTTCAGATTCTGTATCTCCCTCTCTCTCTGACCCTCCCTTGCTCATGCTGCCTCTCTCTCTCTGTCTCACAGAAATAAATAAAACATTTAAAATAAATTTTTTTTAATGTTTTATTTATTTCTAGGAGAGAGAGAGAGACAGCGTGAGCAGGGGAGGGTCAGAGAGGGAGGGAGTCACATACTCTGAAACAGGCTCCAGGCTCTGAGCTGGCAGTCAGCACAGAGCCCGACGCGGGGCTCGAACCCACGAACCGCGAGATCATGACCTCAGCGAAAGTCGGACGCCTAACCGACTAAGCCACCCAGGCGCCCCTAAAATAAAATTTTTTTAAAGAAACTCTTGAAAGTCAGGTAAGGGAATGATAGAATCTGAGTGTCAGGAGACCTTGGGGACTCTTATCTTTGCATTCAGAGCAGGAATCCCCTCTACCATACCCACATTAGGATTCTGTTTGAATCCTTTCTGTGTGGGGCATTAACTGGCTTTCCTCGCAGCCCGTTCTTGTTATGGACAGTGGTAATTATGAGGCATTTGTACCATTGCCTGTGGAAGGCACTGTCCATTTTTGAACATGTAGATTTAATGACATACTCATTATTCTTTAGGGAATTTCATCTGAAATACAGCTACCCATTGCATTAGGAAAAGGGCAGAATGCGTTGTTTCCAATAGGGGTTGCATTTTTTACAGCCTTATTGAGATATAATTCACGTACCATACCATTCACCACTTTAAAGTATACAGTTCATTGGCTTTTAGTGTAGTCACAGAGTTGCATACCCATTACCACAATCAGTTTTCAAAAAGAAGCCCCAACCCCTTAGCTGTCAGCCCTCCAAACCTTCCATCTCCCCCCGCCAAGCAAGCAATAATCTCTCTGTTTCTACAGACTTGCTTATTCTGGACATTACACGTAAATGGTATCACACAATATATGGTCTTTTGTGACTGTTTACTTAGCATAATCTTTTTACGGTTCATCCATGTTACAGCATGTATCGATACTTCTTTTTATTGACAAATTATATTCCATTGTGCAGATATATCATATTTTATTATCTGTGCCTCAGTTGATGGGCATTTAGGTTGTTTCTTCTTTTTCACTGTCATGATTACTGCTGCTGTGCACATTCATGCACAAGGTTTTGTGTGGCTACGTTTGCAGTTCCCTTGTGTATATACCTAGTAGTGGAATTTCTGGGTCATATGCTAATTCTATATTTAACTATTGGAGGAACTGCCAGACTGTTTTCCAAAGCAACTGCATCATTTTACATTCGCACCAGAAGCAATGAGGGTTCCGGTTTCTCCACATCCTGGCCAGTATTTGTTATTACCTGTCTTGTTTATTATTGTCATTCCAGTGAATGTGAAGGTGTATCTCACTGGTTCTGAGTTACATTCCCTTGGTGGCTAATGATGTCACACATCTTTTCATGTGCTTACTGGCCACTTGTATGTCTTTTCTGCAGAAATGTCAGTTCCAATTCTTTACCCATTTTTTTGTCTTTTTATTATTGAGATATATTTCCTGGGTTTAATATACATTCTGTTCCTTTAGAGATATAAGCCCCTTATCAGAAATTTGATTTGCAAAATGTTTCTCCTATTCTCTGGCTCGCCTTTTTATGTTCTTTATAGTGTCTGAGTCACATATTTTTAGTCCCGTAATTCTTCTCAGTTTTTCTTATTTTCCCTGTTAAACCGTAAAATTGTGAAATTTAAATTGTAAAGTTCTACAGATCCAGAAACCACTACTCCTTTTAGATCTCTGTTCATCCAGGAGCCCGGGCCTTGCGTGGTACATGTCTGTTCCAGAACATGTCTCCACCACCAGCCACCACTGCCCCTCTGTGCTTTCCTGGCAGACAATTTGATTTCATTCTTGATGAGATATTATGGTTTATTGGTTTGTTTTCTTACAGGTGAATCGATTTAGTAAGGTGGAAGACCGAGCAATTTTTGTCACTGACCGTCACCTGTACAAGATGGACCCCACTAAACAATACAAGGTGATGAAGACGATTCCGCTCTACAACGTAAGTGTTTTCTGCTCCTTTCTGAATAAGGGATTCTTAACGTGGTATTCCTGGACCACAAGTGGGTTGGTAACTAATCACTACTACCTCTGGGGCTTTAGGAAGCCCATGAATTCCTGAAATTGTATGCCAATCTTATGTTTTGTACAAATGTACAATTTTCCATTAGAAGGATCCAGGGGTGCCTGACTGGAGCGTGCGACTTTTGATCTTGGGATCATGAGTTGGAGTTCCAGGTTGGCTGTGTGGAGGCTACTTTAAAAAAAATAGAAGGATCCAAAGTTACCAATAGATTCATGAAACATTTTAAAAGACAGAGTGTAAGGGTTCTCCATTCTGTGTGACCTTTCTTTATGCCTAATCTTGTGTTCTTACGTACCACTTAAATGTTGTGACACATAATGCATTTTCTTATTTATTTTCAAGAGGTTTGTTTTCATAGGGAAATGGAATCAGGTAGAAAAACAGTAGAGAATTACTTTATGAAAACATAACCTCTCTTTCAGAGGTAAAATGCTTGCTGTTTCAAGAAGTTCTTTTCACCAGTATATTTTCCTTTTGATCTAAAGCCACTCAGTTGCTCTCCATGTGGTTTTCAAGTTCTGTAATCATTTCTCACTTCAGATATGAAATTTGGTGGATATATCCTTGAATCTCAATATGAAATTCTTTTTTTTTTTTTAAATTTTCTCCTGCTGTATGTGGTCTGCTTTCCAAGTGACTGTCTGTTCCAATTCTTCAGAAAGATCCTGCTGACTACCAGATCTTTTTGAGTGTCAGGTGGTTTTGTCTGTCTGTTAGTTCCTAAGGACAGAGGTCTCTATTTGTCCAATAATAGAATCCATGCAGAGTACTATTTAAAGATTATTTTAAATCCTTTTGGTGTCTGCAAAAGGGAATAGGAAACATATTGTTTTGTAGTTTTATGTTGTTAAATCCTGAGTTCTATTGGTTGTGAGGGACCACAGAAGGCAGACTGTTCCTGCCTTTGCTAAATGATTTGGAACATCACTGCCGAGTTGATTACGGGGTTGAGACCCATGTCCATTACGCTCTCCACCCCCACCCCAATACACACACATGTATCTTTTTCCCTTTCAATAAAAAGGCTAATGGATTGCAACTAAGAAGAAAATGATATTCAAAGACATTCTTGATTGTATAGCGTCTTCTTAGCAAGTGCTTGTAATCATATATCGATGACAGTTTAAGCCTAGTCACTGCAGCCTTAAAGTAGGAAGCAAAGGAGGACACAGGAGAAAATCGGATTTTGTCAAAGTCAAATGAAGTGTGGAACCAAACAAAAAATAAATTGTGGCCCATGTTTTATTTCTTTACTTTCTATTAAAGGGAGATCAATCAAAGCACTTGATACAAACTCAATAAACAGCTGAACAACTCTTTGAACTGAAGTTATTTTCCCAGACTACCATCCTTTTTCATGACTGGTGTGTGTTTATAGTCGCTGTTCCCCTTCATCATCAGCATCATTGTCAATGTTAGCAACAATATGTGATATGAAAATTAAACAACGTTGAACAATTGCAGTGAAGGTAAAACAATGTCAGTAGATGGGCACACAGTGTCACGGATGCAGTCAGTCCTCTGCCTGTGTCCCCCTGCACTCCCTTCTCATTTCTGGGCACACCTGCCTGACTCCAACAAGCCAACATCCTTGTCACAAGGCCACCCTCAGGCTGCTAGAACCTACTTTGCCTGCGGGCCACAGTGGTATGTGCTTTAACAATGGGCCCTGTTGGCTGTCTTTCTGTCCCTGAACCGTCTCCCCACTCCCTTGCCAGTGTCCCCGCACTTCCCAAATGACTTCTGTATGTTTATCAGCCTTTGTCTCGGGGTCTGCTTTGCAAAGAACTGACTTTGGAGTAGTGGCCGCCTCTTCGGAGGCACCAGGTTGAAGGGGATGGGGACTCCAACCAGATCTATGAAAGTGTTTTTTTTCCAGTCTGAAACAATTATGGCAAAATATTAAATGTTGATCATGAAGACACGAGTCTTTGTTGTTTTATTCTTTAGGCTTTTTGTATGATTGGAATATTTTGAAATTCAAAAACAGATAAGACAAGGAACCTTTAAACAATGATAAGAATAATGCATAAACTGGACGAGGGTGGGGGCAGCTGGGTGACTCAGTCGGTTAAGCGTCCGACTTCGGCTCAAGTCATGATCTCACAGTTCATGGGTTCGAGCCCCACATCAGGTCTGTGCTGACTGCCAGCTCAGAGCCTGGAGCTTGCTTCAGATTCTGTGTCTCCTTCTCTCTCTGACCCTCCCCTGCTCACGCTGTCTCTCTCTCTCTCTCTCTCTCAGAAATAAATAAAACAATTTAAAAAAAAATAAAAGAAACTGGGAAGGGAAGAAGGAGATGATCTCAGTTTTAACCATGCTGTGTTTCAAGGCAGTGGTGAAATTTGGAAGTATACATTCCACAGATAATTGGAAATCTAAGATTATAGAGGGGGAAAGAATTCAGCACTCAAGATAAAAATTTAAGAGCAGATCCATGGATGGATCCATGGATTGGAGGCTGAAATTATGAGTCTAGAGAGAGAAAGGGGGCAGATGATTCGAGAACATTCACAGTTAAATGGTCAGGAAAGAATCACTGAAGGAAATGGAGTAAGAAGGAAATCTCTTCTCTCAGTGGGCTTCCATTTGCTCATCTCTCTGTTAATGCATTGAATAAGCTCTAGTTTCCCTTCAGTTCCATAGGTTATGAGTTATTCTAGGAAAGATAAGAACTGTAGGAACACTGTGTTTCAGAATCCAGTTGGAAAGTTTTTGGAAGTCAGAGTAATCTGTAAGAACAGACAGCTGAGGGGCCCACACCCCTCCATTCTCTTCATTTCTTCTGCACAGGCTCCTTTCCTGTCTCAGTTAAGCTTTTCTAGCCCCAAGAAACAGATTGGGACCATCTACTCTCTTGAGTAATGTCTTTAATGAGGATACACATGGTAGTCAGGGAGAAGAATCTGGTGCAAACTTAGGAAATGCTACCACACTGTTGAAAGAAGCTCGAAGGGGCTGTGTTATCCTGTAGGCCCCTGAGCAACACGAGTGCTTAGAGAGTCTGCGTTCCTGCCATCCTCTCAGGCTCTACTTCTCTCCTTGTGTCTTCTTACTAACAGTCACCGTCCTTGCCAGATGGCATGGGCTTAGATCTAAATCAGCCAACCCGACAAACCATCCGAGTGCCATCCCACAGTAACATATTGCACACGGGCTCCAGGTGAGTCCTCCCCATAGCCACCAATTCTGCGTGATCCACATGGGTACCATAGTTCCTTGTCAAGCACTTGTTAATCCATGCATCGTCTTTCCTGACTTTTCCTTGTATAGCATGGATAATTACTACAGTTCATTTGGGGCTTCACTGATCTCTTCCTCTACAATCTTTGACTGCTGTCCTTAGGCCCAAGTCACCTTTGGGCACAAATCATGCTGGCGAGGGTCAGTAGGAGAGAAGTGCTTCAGATAGGCCAGCTTCATCAGGCATCCTTCAATGCTTGGACTCTTCCCACCTACACCCATTCCAGTCTCCTGGATTCCAGTCTTTGTCACACAGGGCCTAAATCGTGCCCATGGATGCCCATCGCAGGTGAGAGTTTAGGTGCTGCTGTAGTTTGGCTGTGTGTCTAATCTGTTTCTAAACCTGGTCTTCACCAGTGCTTTTTGGCAGAATGTGTTTCCTTAACTGCTTCCAGCCAGCAATATGGGACCAATATTTGTTGCTTTCCTAATGCACCGTAAAAAGTACTCAACCAATTTATTATCTCTGCATCTCCTAACCCATTGACCTGGTATAAAGCAGTAGCACCTAAGTGCCCTAGGCACTTAACTCGAATGGGCACATCCACCAGACCCCAGGGTCTCCCCAGGGATCAGTTAAGTGACTGCTTTATCCCTACAGACCACGGCTTTCCATGCTGGGTGGAGAGATCCTCCTCCTTGTTGACAACCTTGTGCAACCAGTGCACATCTCGTCTGAGAGGTGTTTCTTGTAGCATCCTGGTGCCTCATTCCTTTCTGCTAGATCTTGAGGTGTAACGAAAAGAGGCTTAAGAAGACTCAAGAGATGGAGAGTTACACCTGAGTTAGAAGGGAGTGCAAGAATTACCTTCATTTGGGGTTTTAGAAAGCTGTAGACCAATTGTGTTGTGACAGCCTCAATTACTAAACTCTTGATTCAACAAGTGATTGCTGGACACTCATTATGTGCCAGACATAGATGTATTGCGGCACAGAAGTGTCAAAATAATCAAAATCTCTGCCCTTACAGAACTTTGTGCGGGGGGCGGGGGGGAGCAGCAGACTGTACATACATGTATATATTTGTGTATATATGTATATGTATGCACACATATGTATACGCATACATATACACACATCATATAATCCATTAGAAGGGATAAGGGAAGAAATAGAATAGGGAAGGAAGATAGAGGATATGAGAGGTGTTCTAATTTCAAATCAGGTGATCAGGCCTCACTGAGAAGTTGACATTTAAGCAAAGACTCATAGGAGCTAAAGAATGAGCCATATGCTTACTTGGAGGAAAAGTATTTGGAGCACAAGGAAGAGCAAAGACACAGATATGAGTGAGGAGGAAAGAGCGAGCCTACCAGGGGCTAGAAATGTTCCGCACCCTGATCTGGTAGCAGTTACACTTCTGTATACATTTGTTAAAATTCACCAGGCTGTTTGCTTGAGATTTGTGCACTCTGCTGAGTGTAAGCTATGTACCTCAATAAAGGGGAAGGAAAAAGGAAGCTATCTATGAAGGAGGATAAGGGAGAGAGGGTAAGTCAAAGAGAAAAGTAAATGAAGCAAATGATAATTCAAGCCCAGGGGGGATTGTGACCCACTCAACAGCCAACGGTGTGTGGACCATTATCGCACAGCATGTGAAACACGTGACAGCCGTGTTTGCTTTCTCCTCCATCTAAACAAGAGTACACCCCCACTCCCCTCCACCCAGAGAC